TTTTCGATGTGAAGTATGCTGATGATATGAGAGAGATGGGAGAGTGATTCAGGTAGAACTCCCTGAGGTTTAATGTAGACAAAACGGAGAAGTTAAATGTTAAGAATTACTCTCCATATGTTAACTTGAGGAGGTCAAAAATATTAAATTCCTTGGAGTGATTATTGACTCCTAACTTAGTTGGACCTAGAAGATAAACTCTTTGAGGTCAAGTCAAAACAGTTTTGCTGCTTTTCATAGAGATCATCAGAACTACCTATTTTACTTGTGTCGAGTCTCGCATTTCATGGAGTTGTTTCAAGCATGCAATCAAAGCTTTAAAGGCCCAGCAATGCTATATTTTTTGAATTTTTGTTTGTTTTTTGTTAAAATTGTCATTTATATTTGAGCCATTTTATTGTGTAATCTATTCTTATTTCTGTTAATTGTTTCGTAATCTATATTTTATTTACTTCTGGCCGGGTTTCGTTGTCATATAATTTGATTTTGTTGGAAATAAATGATAAAGTATTATTATTATTATCATAGGTCAAAAAATTAGATCTAATGCTCTAATCATGCCCTTCTCGGTTGGTGTTGTCATGATATATCAGACAGCTACGTTTGGAATGTGAAGAACGTGTTCCCTGGAATCAAAAATGGCGTGGGCTCACGATTGTCATAAAACTTAATTTTTGCCACAACAGTTGGAAGTACGTCTACCCTAGTTGTTTCTCAGAGAAACATTTAGGCTGCAATCCACCACTGTTTACATGTGTTATGTTGATACTGGTACAGTTCCAAGTCTTTTTGCCTATTAAAGGGGGAAGGGATGGGATATGATAGTTAAAAGTCTAAGTCGGTAACCATATTTTATACTGGATGTGCAACTTCTACGTTAATACATCATGATTAACTGGCACTAACAAAATTAATATACTTTTTAAAGCTATTTTTACGTTAGTCCATGTAAAACATTCCATTTTACAATTTTTCCAGTCACACTAGTGAATTGGGTCACGTGATCATTGGTCATGCAAATAATAAAAATGAAAATATTGTTTATTTACATAACTAATATAAATAAAAACAACATTTGTAAATAAAAGAAAAATCCACTGAAGTTGGGAAAACTACGTGTCCGTGGTGAATGACTCAGATGGTATAGAATCACAAGTATATGATGACAAAGTAAATAAGGATTTCACAATCATAAAATTCTTTACAAGATCGGGAAGTGTAGTCGAGATAGGTATAACTCATCCAAGAGTTGACAATACCCTCACACGATGTTTATCAAGAAAATTCCTTTTTTTTCAGCTGTACGGTGATTATATGTTTATTCTGGGTGTTAAATTGTTTTATCGAAAAAGTAGGCCAGGTATGTAATATGAATATGTTTCTGGAAAGTTCTATTATGTTATACGCATTATATACTTTTGAGTCTATAACATGGTTTTGATTTTTTCGTTGTTGTTGTAGCTATGTTGCCCATACAGAGTAATAAAAGTTAATTGAGACAAATATTTTTTTTATAAACAAACCTTTCTCATAGCACTAAGTCCCGCAAATTCAGATTAATCAGCAACTTATCAATAATCAATTGACTGCATCGATCATAGATTCAACTTTGCTAGGGCCTTTTTCATGTGGTAATTAGAGAGCGCTATAGCAAAAGCATTAGTTAGAAAGAAATTCAATTTTATGGTTTCCTATAAACTATGCATAAATTACTTATGCTGTTGCCATTACTATTTCTTCAGCACATCGCTGTATTATAGAACATCGCAATATTAAATCAGAAATTTGTATTTTCACAAAATATTATACATTATGTAACTTTATTTAGCAAAAAAAAACGTTTTTTTTATTTAAGGTCTACATTGTAAAGTTTATAACTGGCCTTTTCTGGCAACTAATATTACACTAATAATATTTTGGATTTTAAGTAAACAAAGTATTGTCAAATTACTCCTTAAAGCAGTGTAAGTATATGACCAGAGGTAGATGATATCGACATTAAATCAGAAATTTGTTACAAAATACTGTTAGTGTAATATTACTTGGCAAAAAAGCCGTATACATATGTATTTTTTTAGGTCTTTATTGTAAAGTTTATAGTGGTAGTTTTGTGTTCTACGACGATATTGACTAAACTTTAAATATAAATACCTTGAATAAAAAAAAATACAAATATATCTTTTTTGTCATGTCGTAATACACTAACAAAATAATGCATTCTATCTAAACAAATGATGTAAATGTACTCCTTAAAACAGTGTAAGAATATAAAAAGGGGTTGATAACGATATTAAGTCAGATTTTTTTTGTTTAAAAATACAGTTAGTGTGTAATATTACATGGCAACAAAAGCGTATGTGTATTTTTTTATTCAAGACCTTTATTGTAAAGTTTATAAATGGGTAAATGGTGGTTTTGTTTTCTACCATCATACAGATGAGACTTAGATATTTTTAAACTTTGCAATAAAGACTGTGAATAAAAAAAATTACAATTATATCTTTTTGGCCAAGTCATATTACACTAACAACATTTTGAATCCTGCGTATACAAATTATGTAATGTATATAATCAAAGGTAGATATGGATATTAAATTAGAAATTTTATTTGTTACAAAATATTATTAGTGTAATATTACTTGGCAAAAAAGACATGTATGCATTTCTTTTATTCATGGTCTATGCTGTAAAGTTTACAAATGGCTAGGTCTTGTATATATCGTGGTAATTTTGGGTTCTACTACGATACAGATGAGGCTAAGCCGTTTGTAAACTTTACAAAAATAATTTCTTTTTTCCAAGTAATACTACACTAAGAATATTTTGCATTACAAATTATGTAAAAGTACACCTTAAAACAGCGGAATAATATAACCAGAAGCAGATATCAATCATTATTAAATATTTAAGAATTCTTTTGAATATATTTTTTTTAATATTGCTAAAATATATTTACTGGGTGTTGGAATGTCTACGTCACTATAGTACGTGATAAGGATAGATTTTTTTATTATACAATAATGAGCACGCAAAAATTCCGATTATTGGAGAACAGTGGCCAAATAAACTACCCTTAACCTTGCGCTCAGTCGTGTGGACAACGAAAGAAGTAGGAATTATCGTAGTTCGGCCGATTTTAACCAACGGTTCGCGCAGATACTGCATAGTGACAGGTCATTACTATGAATACAAAATATAATCCGCAAGCCGCAAAACAATTGTGAAGGATTTCGAAGCGGTTAAGGATCAAAAGTTCAACCCTGACGCCAGGCTAGATCGCTGAAACGTCGGGGCAGCATCGTATTCAGCTTCAGAGAATCAATATGGGGAATTACATAAACTGCATCCCGATTTCAATTTTCGATGGAACATAGTACGGCAGGGATAAATAATAATGTATCCCGTTACGCACGAAACTGGCTTGCATCGACCGGACATAGACGTATAGGCATTTCGATATTTACATATTGTCTGTCAAGTTCGCGATTCCAGAATTTCGACCGACGTCACGAGAGTTAAAAATTTTAAATTTTCGCATTTGCCGGGTAACAATTCGGTGATAAAATAACGGTAATTTTACATTATTTTTGACTCACCCCTTAGAGTTTTTATAGAACAAAAATTTAAAGGAAAGCACATACAAGTAAGTGAGTATTCATAAGATTAAACTTTTGAAATTTATTTTTACAAAGACATGGATCATGAATAATTTATCCTGTTACGCAACAAATGACACATAGACAGACATTTTCTTGGAGTTTAAGTTTAAAATTTTAAATTTTCGCATTAGCCGAAACTTTAGGGGTAACAATTCGGTGATAAAACAATGGTAATTTTACATTATTTATAAATATAAATATAAAGAAAGTACATACAAGTAAGTGCGTATTTATACAATTAAACATTTTTAATTTATTTTTACAACGGATGGGATAAAGAATACTTTATCCTGTTAAGCAACAAACGACACATAGACAGACATTTTCTTGGAGATGACACCACTACAAAATTTCGACTTATATCCCGAAAGTTTAATATTTTGAATTTTCGCATAACTCGCAAGTTTTGGTTAGTAATATTTACATTTTTTTGCAGAGAAAAAAATCGCAGTACCACCGACCAGCAGCTCTGGAAACTGCGATTGAAGACAGATTAAATACTAATTGATTTAATATTCAATTCAATATTTGAAAATCAATAAAACAGAGCACTTTATTTACGGTATATAATTTTACAGAGAAATAGCAAATACAATAACGATTAATATCAACAACATTACTAAACAATTACAGAAAAAAAATGCTCACGTAACAAAATCAAAAAGATATATCTATCAAAACCCTTTACTGTTTGCAATTTATATTTTCCAAATTTTTTCTATGTACAAAGCTCATCAATCATCTTGCCGCGTTTGTTATGTTATCTATACGATTATAAAAATTAACCGCAGCCCTAAATATGCTTTGCTAGTTACAAGCTGATGATATTGTTTGCCACTTATCAATATTAAGACTAAATTATTTCAATTTTAATAATATAAAGCATGATTTTCAATAATAACTAACCATTTTGATAAAGAAAAACGGAAATATCCATATAGAATCCTAAGCAATTTTAGTATCTTTAAGACAATATCCGGTTTGTCGAAAATATTGAAGAAATCGGTATAAATGATCCAGCAACCGCTGATATATAGTAATAATTTGCGATTTTCATTAGAAGAATTTCCCAAAAAATAAATATATTTTACTCATGTAGTTAGTAAACATATGCCTGGCAAGTCCGCCCCTGTCAATCATCTGTGCGACCCTCCGCATAATATGAACCGCAGGAAATAAGGGCCCAGAATGCAAATATGCACGTGACGCATTATCTACTACATCTTACAAACGAAGGCCGCCCGAGTCTCAAAACAAAAATACACCTAAACTAACCAAAACTGAACGATAGTGGCAGGAATCGTTTGGGTCGCGATGGCGAATCCGAAACAAAATACTCACTATTTTTTCTCTATTGCTCCTCTATTTGCTGTCACCGAACAGATCTGAAACAAGAAAAAAAAATAATTAAAAAAAAAAGGTAAACACCCGAAAAATTGTGAAAACAGCACATATCGAGGAAAACCAAACCGATCAATCTGGAAATCGATATTTTTTTCGGCGCCTCGTAAAGGTGTGTCGGCAAGAATTATGAATGAAACTTCGTAGTAGATTTATTTTAAAACAATTATTTTTGGAAACCATTTTATTATCGATGCTGCTACACTTTAAATACCGCCGTCCGGTCAAAATATACAGTTTTAGGCACTTAGATGCGAAGTCGTTACGTTTGTTCATCCCCAAGGCGCAGATTTTGCGTTTTCCAAAATAAACCAGAATCGTCATTAGGTATTTACTAAATGAAATAGCTATTATCTAAGCTATCTAGTCATCTACGAGCTGTATCCAAATTATATTTTTTTCGAGTATTGTTTCTTCCATAAAATATTGAAATTCAAAAGCCCACGATCCATGCAGACGTTCGTAATGTTACGTTACGTATATTTTAACAATTCCATCAGACGTGAGAACATTTTAAGCGTTCTTTTTCCGACTCCATCGTTGAGTATAGCATTATATATTAATTTATTTGGCGTAAATGATTTTAAGTTCTCTCTTACAACTTTTAGATACAAATTAAAGCTGGAACTCTTTAGTCAGCAGTAAAGTGTTTTACAAAAAATGATATGAGCGTCTTTTATTCCACACGTATACTAAAATCCGTCTTTTTTCAGTTTTTAACTATTGCGTAGTGAAACTAGGACTTATGTATTATAATTTGTATTAACAGGCCCATTTATTTATATTAATATTTATACTTATTTCATAATATCGTAACATTAATAAGTGGTTAATACACGTTTAATTATGATTAATATTATTATTTTTGCCATGGACCCATCCTAAATATTGCTGCCTTTTGCATACCTTGAAACGCCCAACTGCTGGAGATGTTCAGATAGATACGTTTTCCTGTGACTATGGCGAATATGTATACCCTTTACAGGTCTCGGAGCTCTTTCACGTCAAATGAAAGCTGCCGCCACTTTTTCGCCTTCCCGGTATAGATTTTCTGGAAGTTTTCACCTACTGGAATGCTTAGGTCGATAACCGTTCTGGACTATGCAATCTATCTGTATTGTATTGCATATTTGTCTTCTTTGTCACGAAAGGCTGGTACTTGCAATATTCAGTCCTAGTCTTGAGCAGTCCAGTTTTTAGAGTAATTTCTTGATGGCGGATCTTGGTCGCTTGATCAGTGTAGGTATTGCCTCAAAGCTAGCGACGTACGACCTACCTAGAATGTATTTTCTGTAAAATCTGTAAAGGAGCTGAAAAACTCTATCTCTGGGAAAATATAACCTTGCTTTAAGTAGACTACCGAGTCCAATTTGCTAACCTACCATGCAAGTTCTTGATGATAAAGGTGGTGGATTGCTAGAAAAATTATTTTGGTTCCTCGTTTCATCTACGAAAGCTGCTTCTAGATTTAACAGCTCTCGATCTCATTCATCACCAGCTAAGTATAGCTTTTCCATAGCCGATTTAGGTTTAGGGTCTGTTAGGGTTGTTCTAATTTTCCCGTTTATATCCGAACGTGCAATTGCATTGATTTTGGTTTTCGCATTTAAATCTTTTTACTATATTGTCTTGTGCAGCTTGTTTATTGTTATCTGTGGTGAGGCTCAGCTAAATTCCTGGGTAGTCACAGGTACGCCCCTCCAGATCTTGGAGCACCATTAGCCTCACCCATTGTCTCTGGAAACTTTTCTTCTACGAAAATAGATCTCTTTTCCTCAAGCCTATAATTTCAAATCAGTCATATACAGTTGATGAGATATTTTATGATTTTGGTTGATTTGGTAAGCATAATTATTGTTATTTAATAGGTGACTTTGCTGGTTCAGCGCCAAACAAAACCACAAAGTGCTCAAACTGTCGCCCTGGCATATCATATTTTTGATGATTCACATGTAATTTTGTCGTAAAGCGGTACATTTCTTATTTATTTATTTATTCATTTATTTATTTAAAGAAGTCTACTTAACAGGCATGAAGCCCAATTAACAGGTAGGTTGTCGTACAAAGTGTTAAATAGTTACATTGCAAGTAATGATATCACAACGCTGGAGAGCAAGACAATCCTCTTAAACACCGGATTTTTTTTTATTTTACGTGGTCCACGTATATCAAAAAACTGACACCAAGATCTTTACCAATTATTATTAACGCTTATTTAAGAGTGGAAAAATCATATAAATATTCCAAAATTATTTGACATGCAGTATTTCTGAGGCAATTGGAGGGAGAAACTTGATTTATATGTTATGAAGCAAGATCAAAAGCATGTCTCCTCCAAATCTGAAGCAATTAAAAAAGCTGTAAAGTTCTATAAATAATGGGATCTTATTAATAATGTAAGTAAACAAAAAAACATTTATGCTGAATAGTCAGTTTTCTATGAATTTCATAATAAGCAGGCCTTATAGCACTTTATGTTCACACTGCAAGAATTAAGAGATTCAGGTCATTTTGAAAAACTTGAACTTGTTACTTTAGAAAAATTCGATTTTTTTGATTATATACAGGGTTTTAATTATAAGATGCAAATGAAAAATCGTAAAAAATATGGCTAATCGGTTCAAACAGTATCACAGGCCGCATCAAGAGCTACAATTTTTGTATTTGTATTTGTATAAATAAAATATGTACAGACAAATTTTGCTCGATCTCAGCGATTCGTTGTATTAAAAAACAAAAAAATCACGTCGCAGCGCAAAATTTAATTCACGGAATAAAACAAAAAAAGGCAATATAATACGTTGGACCATGAGCAATGCTTCGAGATTCCCGATTTGAGAGAAATTTTTGATATAAACGGCTCATATGATGTAGGACGAAATTAGATTCTCTTTATTAGTTTTTTAATCTTCTTTGAAGCAGATATACATAACGGATTTAATAAACTTGGAAATATACGTGATCTATGGCATTTTTTTAGTTCAGGATGGGGAGGGGATGCGAAATACTTCCTAGCGCGTGGCGCGTTAAAACTTCAAGAAAAATTAAACAAAAACAAAACGTATCTATTGCATACCGCGTCCAATAAACGCGTGAAAAAAAACTCAGAGAGGGCCCCAGTCTAAACTTAGATTTGGGCACGTGTGCAAGCAGAAGTATACCACCGGGGGACAGCGTTGCCACACTTTGCAATATGTAATTAAAAGTTTAATAAAACGAGAGTTTTCTTAACATCAAAAAAATTTTTTTCGCCCTCTTTCCTACATGAAAACTAAGCTTTTGGGAGAATCATACCCAAAGCAAGGCCATATGGGTAGGAAAAAAATAGCTGGGGTACTCGACAGTACTATTTGGACAATCCGTAGTCAACGTGGCAACGTAACCTTATAAAATACGTATTCCTGCTGGCAACTGCTGCTACCCGGGGCAGATAGGTCATGACGAACGCGTGTGGGGAGCAGAAGAGGGGGTTGAGGCGTCAAGACGGCTGTTATGTTGACTCACGATCCGTCGGTAACGTCCACATACTCTCTTTCTTTATTCTAATTAGGTGATTGCGACGTTGTCGATTGTCACGATAATTCAGATAAAGATCGAAACTACGTCGACACAATTTACTCAGGAACAACTTAACATCGTTTCTTCTGCTAAATTTGAGATTCTTTTACACTCGATCTTTATCTTAGTTACCAATCAAGTTGATTGGCTTAGTTCAGCACTATAAGTTTCCTTCGTATGTTATCCATTGCTACTTTTTATCATATGCAGCTAGAAACCATAGTTAACACTCTTTTATATACAGTCCTTGCTCGTACATTTTTCCTTCTATAATTGTTTTAATCTCATGTCTCTAGGTATCACATTTATCCACATTCTCCAATTTCTTTTTCACATGCTGTCCTCTAGTTCTCGTTGGTCCATTTTGTCTTCCATAATTATTTAATATCATGTATCTAGGTGTCCCATTTAGCATTCTTCATTATCTGTTTTATGTACTGCCCTCTAGGTCTTACTGGTACATTTTCCCCTCTATTGTTTTAATCGCATTTCTCTAGGTATCCCATTTAACATTCTCCATTACCCGTGTACATTTTCCTTCTATAAATCTTTTAATCTCATGTCTCTAAGTATCACATTTAATATCTGATTTGTATACTATCCTCTAATTCTTGCTGGTACACTTTTCCTTCTATAATTCTTTTAATCCCATTTCTCTAGGTTACCCATTTAACGTTCTCCATTACCTGTGTACATTTTCCTTCTATAAATCCTTTAATCTCATGTCTCTAATTATCACATTTAATATCTTTCATTATCTGCTTTATATACTACCCCTCTAATTCTTGATGATATACTTTTCCTTCTATTCTTTCGTCTCATTTAACATTCTCAATTACTTGTGTACATTTTTCCTCTATAAATATTGTAATCTCCTGTCTCTAAGTATCACATTTAATATCCTTCATTATCTGCCTTATATACTATCCTCTAGTTCTTGCTGGTACACTTTTGCTTCTATAATTGTTTTAATCTCATTTCTCTAGGTATCGCATTTAACATTCTGTGTGTGTAAGAATGTTGTCTCTAAAAAATAATAACAGCCTAGTTGGTTAGGAAGCCAATAGCCTGCAAACGAGCGATATACAATAATGAAGTGCTCAATAAAATCTTAAAGAAAACTGCCTAAAAAATAAGAGTTAAGTACTTTTTTTTTCAAAGAAACTTCCACAGGCTACTGTAATACTTTTTATAAAACTCCTGCGTCATTTTTTGTTGACTCGAACTAGCTAACGTTTCGCCAATCATCCTGTTGGCTTCTTCAGAGTTTCATTGGAACTCAAAAGTTTTATAAAAAGTATAACAGTTATATATAGTTTATAATCAACTTAATATTTACATTATCTAACCATAGTTTTGATTTATTAAAGTATTTTAATCTTAATTATACTATTCCGTTGCTTTGATGGTACGTAGTCGTAATATT